ATATATATACTTCACCCTTCATCTAGCCGTCTAATTTAGATCAAGTGCGCCACTAACCATTTAATCTTGATCCAATGCCTTAGAGTATTTTATTTTTATTTTTTTCTACTAAGTATATGAATATGAAATTTGGTAAGTACCATCATCTCAATGGGGCGTACCTAAATAAAATATTAAAAATATTTTGGATAAAATACAATAACCAAAATACTTTTGAAACTTTCAGGGATATTTTAGTCATTTTATTTTGTATTTTTTATAGGTCCGAGTTCAAGATAGGTTTGCACGCCCAACTTTTAGTGTCAAAATATTTTGTATAAAAAAATAAAAACAACATAGTATAGAGGGTGACATTGTGATTGGGGCCATCTAAACTATCCATTTAGAATGGAAGGTTGGATAAAGGGAAATAGAAGTTTTATGATGTAAGGAAATCATAGAAAGCTTGCTCTTATCTTAAAAGGTATATTTTAGATTGATATTATCATAAAAAATGTGTCAAATCTACACCATCCAAATAAATCACGACAATATAAAATATCCCAATCTTATTTCTACAAATAAAGTTGCAACCTTTTGCAAACCGCATCCCAATTGAATATTAGTGCTAACTTTATAATTCTGCGCTTTTTCCATTTATCAATACCCAACCACCCCTATTCCTTTTCTTTATTATTTTGAGCCAATCCAGAATTAATATGTTTAGTAACGCTATGGTATCTAGGATGTGTGGTGCATTTCCCCCTCCCCGCCCGAAAAAAAGAAAAAAAAAAGGGAAGATGATTTTATACTTTCATGAGAGTATACCGTTCATTTACACATTCTGGTCAAAGACTGTCTTGTTTTTGTAGGGTGAGTTCTATGTATAAAAAAATTTTAAATTCAAATCATTTTTTTGAAAATGAACATCTAATAATGTTTAGATATTTACCAAAATTTTAGACCGAAAAAATCCTTCCAAGTAGGCTTTTTCAGGAAATAGATGCAAAGTATGCTCCCGACAAGCATAGTATTAGTGTTGAAAAGGAGTTCTACATATTTAAGAAATTCCAAGATAATTAGAGGTATGCTTAGTAATGTCCTTTTCCTTTTCTAAAAATTTCAATATCCAAGTATAGAGAGAGAGAGAGGAGACTAGAAATTCCCATATGGTGTGTAAGGGTAGAGATAGAGAGAGGGGGGATGGGGTTGAGTTCATGGCGGTAGCATTATATGAGCCTCAGTTATCAGTCATCAATTAAAGCGTTGTTCACGTTTTCTCTTTTTCTTACCAATGAATAGATAGATTTTACTATTATGATTTAAATATCGTATTTATAAAAAAAAAGATACTATATCGATGGGATTTGGTATAATACGTGTGAGATTGATGATATCGATGATATTGATATTCAAATCTTTTTTCTAAAAAAACTACTAACTATTTTT